AAAAACTGCAACAAATGGAATATGCAGTGCAGTTTATGAATGCTCAAATAACAATTGACAACATACAAGCAATATTACACAAAACAGTAAACATAAACTGCAATGCATAGTACACAAAATACCAGAATATTACACAAAACAGTAATGCAGATTACACGAAAATCCAATACAGTACAGTAACCATACCTTGATTCCCATTCTTTCCAGAAGCACAAAGAAGCTGCCCCTTGTACTTGCTCTTCAGAAATGTAGCATCAATGAACAACAAAGGTATGCAATATTGAAATCTAGCAATGGAATCGCCAAACGATACAAAAAATCGTCTAAAGCGATTAATTCCAACTTCACATTCAAGCTCGCAAAGAGAACCACTGTTAGTTTCCTTTACGGCGTCCGGATCACTCACTAACTCGTTGAAAGACTTCGACTCATCACCGTGAATGTCCAGTTTAGCTAACTCTTTGCCAAACCATGCGTGGTAGTATGAAATGTCTATACCATAATAATCTTTCAACTCGTGTATAATCTCAACGGGCTTCAGCTTCGGTTTTGCACGAATTCTGTCCACAAAGAGAGAGGACACCACACTAGACCTCATCATCTTACTCTTTGATTCCCGTATCCGACTCGGCACATGTATCCACATTATTTAACGTCCGAAATACAAAACAGCCAGTAGCTTCACAACGAGATGAATAAACACACCAACTACAACCCTCCAACTTCTTATTCGAACAAACATCAATCACCTACCTCTTGTCATTGCCAACATATAAAAAGTTAAATCCTACTTCAAGAGCATACTTGCACAATTTCAACCGAAACTCCTCTACACCACCGTCAAACTTTTGCCCTACATGATGTATGTACGTCTCCTACTCATTCGACAACAAAGGCTTAGCACTTGCTCTCTTTGACCTGCCCAAAAATTCATTTCTATCTTCCATAGTACTAGAACACGACGACTCGCCCTTTTCACATGCTATCAACTCCTTATTTCCACAAAATTTACCACTATACTCATTGCTCCTGCATAAATCCTTAACTAAAATATCCACACACTTCGCATTTGGTATCGACAAATATGCCATTATCATGTCTAAATCAAGATCTGTTTCTAATAAATAACTCGAATAACTGGGCAGCGAATACCGTAATGTGAAACTACCCAACTGCAAACCCCTAAAACTTAGACACAAAGTCTTCGAAACATCAACCATGAATGACTTTTCTGAAACTGAAAACATAATGGTTTCCGACTTATATGTTCACTTGGCTATGACAACAAACCTCCATTAGCCTTGAAAATGCAAACAAAACAACAAACAGAAACAGAAAACAATTCAAATAAGTAAATAATGTAGATGAGCAGCTGTAACATTTCCATAAACTTGCAAATATTAGTTTGAAATCGAATTATGAAACAAGAAACTACACTGCAAAACATATGCTCAAATTTGAATAGAAACCAAAAGGAAAAGTCATGTTCAAAGTCCTAAAACTAAGTTCAAAACACATTCAAGTACATAAGCAGTTGTGACATTGCCATACACTTGCAATGCAGTTTATGAAACCAAAAACTGCACTGCAGTTTCTGCTAAAAAACTGCAACAAAAAGAAACGACAATGCAGTTTATGCCAGAAAATCAAAAAACTTCGAATAGAAATCAAAAGGAAACCACAATCAAAGTACTGAAACTAAATTCCAAAAGCATATAAGTCGATATAAATGAAAAAAGGTTCTAAAGTACTTATACCTCAATACCTAGGACTGCCAAAAATCTCCCCAACCAAACAACAGCTCAAAATTAAATCTACCAGAAAATTGAAAACGTAGTAGAAAAACGAAAACAAAAAGATGAAGAAAATCGAACGAAAACCTACCAGAAAATTGAAGCTCCAATTGCATAACGAGAACGAGAGCTCCAAAATCTCAAAGCCGAATGAAAACGAAAGAGAAAGACCAAATTGCGCGTAGTTTAAACAGCCAGGGGTAAAAGAGTCATTTACTTTGTAAGGTTTAAAGATGGGCTAGGCTTTTTAAGAAGAAGGGTAGCCTTGTCTTTTCAATTTTTATTTTTAACCTGGCCCAATGAATCTGGGCCTCTTTGGCCTAATCCAAAATAACAATTCTTTCCTAGGTATTAAAACCCAAACCAAAATACCCAATGTCTCAAATACTAATTAGTAAAGTTAATTATGTCTAATACCTAATTTTTCTTTTAAATTTTATGAAACTCGAGCTATAGTATTATCATAAGAATTCCACAGTGAGGGTCTTGTATATGGCCTTTAGGTGAGGTCATATCTCTTAATCATTGGATCAAATTGGTTAGTCATTGGATCAAATTGATTAGCTTGATCCAATGGTTAAGAGATTAGACCTCACTTAAGGACTATATTTATAAAGGAAAATGATTTTCCCACTCCCCTTTTATCCACCTACACTCCTTTTTGTTTAGAAAAATGGAGTGTAAGTGGATAAAAAGGGAGTGGGAAAATCAGTACCCTTTATAAAAGGCCCTCACTATAGAATGACTCACTATATATAAGGCACATAAGGTCATGTGTTCTTGTTAGCAAAGTTCATTAATGTTTGAGAGATTCACTATTATACCCAATATTAGGGCCCAAATTATGAAAATACCCTATATGAAATGGACTTTAAAAATACACCCAAAACCCATTTACAACATAACAAAGAGGCTTTTAACTTCTTAGAAATTACAAAACTGCCATCAATTTCTCAAAACAAGCCCAACCCCAAAACCTCATAAAAAAAACCCAAAATACTCAATAGGGTATTAAAGTAATTTAATAATCAAACTTAAATTCAATAGGGCCAGCTGTCATTTTTTGGGTTTTTTTTGGGTTTGTTTATAGAAATTCAATGGTGTAGGGTTTATCCATATTATTAGTGCTAAGAATGGGTATATAACTAAATATCTCTTAATTTTTCAATCAAGCTCGAATTTGTTGGCGTTCAATTACTTTGGTATGATGACTTGGAATGACCAAGTCTAATATAGCATGGAGGTGAAGCCAATGCCCATGAAAAAGAAAAAGAAATGGAAAAGCAATTTCTCATGATCAATTGAATGATCCATTGAGATCATATGTGAGGTGGGCTTGCACCTTTTGAAAACAGTCGAATATTTTCTTTCTCCCAATGGCCAGAAAAGGGTTGAGCCATAGTTGAAGCTAAAACAGGTCTTAACATTTTGGAATGATGGATGGTGATGTTTGAATTCACATTTAACATTGTTATAAAACAGAAACAAAGTGTGGAAGGAAAGGGCCCTACCGAATACTAGTATATAGTAGGTGACAAAACCAACCCAAATGGTGTGAAACCTTTTTAGAGGAAAGAACAGTTTACACAACTTTTCCATCTACTTGTATTGGAACTCTGCGTTTTGTGCTTTGTGTATTCTCTCTCTCTCTCTCTCTCTCTCTCTCTCTGTGGGTTGCCTACCCTACCACTACTACCATTGATTGATATAAATTCCAAGCCACACCCACAAAAGAAGTATCCTTATTCTCAATTAAGCTTAGATAGCATGGAGCTGGTATTCTTCATTATGCTCTGCATTATAGTCCTGTCTTTCTCTGCTTTGCTAACACCCTGCACTTCTTTACATATTCAACTGCAACCATCGAATAAACAAGCCTCCTCTCTCTCTCTCTCTCTCTCCATATATATATATATATATATCTCAAGAATATAGCAAGTCTTACATGTTACCTTTTTACATTGTGAGCAGCCAACGACGAACTCCAAGTCTCTCTCCCTACATTGCCAAGGAAGCTTAGATTCACTGAAAAAGTAACTGTAAGAATCCTTTCCTCAGTCAAAACAATAGAAGAATCTTCCTATTCGTCCTATCTCTTCTTAACTTAATCTCCTTCATATTCTGTCACGCAGATTGCCGGACAAGAAGGTAAAGATTATGCACCTCCCAACAAGCAGAAGGAAAATGTCTCAGCCTCAGGTATATATAGATATATATATATTCATTCATAAAACTTGTTTATTTTTTTCATGACGCTTAAACTTAGCATTTATCTTCTTCTTCTTCAGTATTGATAACATTAACAGAATGGGTTTTTAGGAATTTTTGTCAGATATGTGCCGAATTAATCTTTATTTTCCGCATGGCCTTTTCAGGTGGTAATGATATTAAACCAAACTTCCCGAAAGAAAAAGAAAGTGTGCGAAGAAGCAGCGGAACATGGCAGGAATGGATGGAAGGGGAAAACACATCAGAGTTCTTCACAATGGATTATTCCAAAGTAAGAAGACGACGTCCCATACATAACAAGTCCCGCCCAGAAGTTTCTCCATAAAACATGCATGCATGCATGCTGCCATGGTCGACCATACAACAAATTACAAGAGAAGAGATGATAGATATCAACAAAACTTTTAACTTTTGGTATTTATAAAAAATAATTATTAATGTTGTTATTGTAATATATAGTTAGGGAAATGAGGAGAGTGTTTTGTTAACCAGCTCTTGTTGTGGCCGACACCAGGGAGCAAAACCCAAGATTTGTTACTAACTAGGACGACCCTTGTCGTCCAATTAAATTAATTTATGTTCTTTTTGTTGAGTTGGTAGGTCTTTCGTTAGCAGTCAAAGGGGGGCTACAAACCCCAACATTTGGTAACGTGGTCTCTCTCTGTCACACAAATTACAAAACTTATATATAGTTAATTATAGTATTAGGTGGAAGCCTACCCAACTAATTTATAAGATTATTTTGAGGCAAACGGGCTTGACTTGTATATAAGTGATTTCGGATGACACATTTGTAATGTACAAATGTGTTTGAGAAATTTCATACTCCCGTGTAGTTTAGATTATATCGCTTATATTAAAAAACACAAAATTATTTCAAACTTGATTATAGTAAACAAGTTTTGTTATATGTAGCACAAGTGGGGGTTACCTTACCAGCATCCTCGCTGCAATCCATGCTCTACAGTGCCGTACATATTTGGCACATGTACTTGTCAACTAGTTAATTAAGCTTAGCTGCTTAATCAAGGGAATTATTATATTATTGTATATGCATGCGTTTTCAAGGGTGCCATGGATCGATAATTCCAAAATGTTGACCAAGTTCCGTTTGAGTGGAGGTCACGTTTGCCACAAGGCCGTCAACTCTCTTCTCTATGAGTTTGTTTGACGGTTTAAATTTGTTAATTTTTTTTTTCTTTCTTGAAATATGCATATATAGGGGTTGCCGATTAAAAAATGGATGAGTATTTTTATTTGGACCATATGTATTTGCTTCCATACACCATGTGACATGTTGAATTATAGTTGTGTTAGGAAGATAGTGAATTTAAAAGATGAATGAAAAAATAGTTTGATTCTCTATGACATGTCGAATTAATATTGCGTTACGAAGATAAGAAATTTAAAAGATGAATGTAAAAGGAGTTCGATTCTTTATTAGTACACTGTATATTGTACTCAAAATTACATTGTTTCAATGTTTCATTTTATTAAATTATAACAATGTAATTGTAAATAAGTTCTTTTAATATCTAAAATCTCAGAAGTTATTCCTTCAGATATTTTATATGTGCGTTCACTATTGAAAAAAATTGAAAAATTTTTTTTTTTTGATTTTCTTAAATGATTTCATATTCACAAAAAAAGAGAGTAAGAAAACGACGGGTCCTTATGGTAGTTAACGACAGGCGTTTAATAGCTAGCGCGGGCAGCGCGCTTTCAAAGATAAATGCAAACAATACGACGTCGTGGGGTGCACCATTTCCGCTAAATCTTTAGAAACAGAGTAGCTAAGTAAGACTGGGACAAACCAGGGAAATAATCCAATCCGAAAGCAACGATCTAAAAACAGACTAACAATGGAAGACTTATGGAAGCGAGCGAAGAGTTTCGCTGAAGAAGCAGCCAAGCAATCTCAAACTCTAACCAACTCCGCCAAAATCACAG